TCGCAAGTAGCTCCTTGTCATGAACTGGATAGTTCTTCTATGCAGCTTTTATCTGGCGAGACTCAAACGCGATGACGCTTTCTCGACCCTCAGAGTCAACTCGCAAAAGTGCACTGCCAATGGCAAAGTCCGAAGCGTCGCATACAATGCTAAGCGGGCGATCAGGATCAGGTAGAGCCAGAATTGGCGCCTGAAGGAGACTCTCCTTAATGGCTTAAAAAGCCTCGTGGTGCTTGGTGTTCCAACACCATTCCACATCCTTTTCAAAGAGATTTGATAATGTCCTAGCCACTTCCGCATAGTTCAGGCCATACTTGTGCAAGTAATTTGCCAAACCCAACGACTTGCGGAGGTCCTTCTGGTTCCTCAAAACCGGCCAATCCACTATGACTTTGACCTTAACAGGGTCTGCCCGAATTCCTCGCTTCCCAATGAAGCATCCCAAAAATGTCCCCGAATCCCCGGCCGAAGGAGGCGGGAAGTACTGCATCGGAGGTGCATATGGATGCTGAAGGCGTACCAAGAGGTCAATCTGACATCGATGCTTGGCTTGAGAATGCTCAATTACCGTTAAGCAATTCGAGGTCTCAGAGCGAAGCGCTCAATAGACCGACGGTGTCGATCGACACGGTCATCGATCGATGACAGGTGAGACCTCACCGATGCAAGGGAATCACGCTCCAGGAGCGTCAGGCGACGCTCAATTTCAGAGAGATGAGAGGTCAATAGGTCATCGACCTCCTCCGACGTTGATTGATGACCGGGGTCATCAACAGCTTCACGTGTAACGTATGTTGGCTTGGCGTCGTCACCAGGGTCATACCCAATACTTGGTGAAGTGGAGGGGTTACTCCCAGTCGTACGACTCGTGAGAGTATGAGGTACCCCTCCGGCAGGATTGCCCTGACGCCGTTGACGCTTTTGACCAGAACGGTCAGAAGCGACGACAGCTGTCGTTGGACGCTTCCTAGCACTAGGTGCTGTGGAAGTAGGGTCAGTAGGCTGGCTTCGCCTCTGACCTTCAGAAGAAGCCAACGTCGGTACATCACTCGAGCGAGAGGTACGGGCAACAGCTTCAGAAGCTTGATACCCACAAGTATTTGACCTGTATGTGGATGGTAATCGGCGTTTCACTTTGAGTTTAGCGAAGCTAAAAAGTATAAGACATTCTAACCAAACTTCTTGCTCTTTAGCGCTTAAACGAAAGTTTGACAAACTTGAGAGCTTACATGCTCGTTCTACCCAACATGTGAACTGGTGATCATCTTGTGCAGATGTTTCACCTGGTGCAAGCACCACTGGTATGCCGTTTAGTCGGTGCACGGGCACCCCACGTGACTGTCGTGACAGTCGCTCCTAACACAATTTCATCGTAAACTCCTGGGGAGTAAGGAGCCGCTCACGAAGAGCAACACTATTTGCATTCTCGCAGGACGTACGGGCATGGGACCCAATGATATAGGTTCGCAAGGATTGCGATGCAGCTCGTTGAGCTTCCTTATAAAGGTCCCGAGGAACAAACCCATAATCACGACGTGAAAACGTTTGTTTGGGCCGTGCCAAAGCGGCCGCTCGGGTCTCGTCATCGAGTTGACGACGCTTTGCAGCGTCAAGAGGATTGGGTACTTCTTCGTCTCTACCCTCTCGCGAGGGAAGAGGAGGCACTTGGCGCAAAAGGGTTGTCTTCCTTGAAGGAGAAGACACAAATTGGGATCGACGTCCCTCGCTCGGTGAGCGTGATGATCTTGGGTTACCTTAACCCGAAAGTGACTCGGCTCCGCCACCCGTAGAGGCAACATCACTGTCATCGTCCCCAAAAATGTCGTGACGCGTTGCTTCATCCATGATGGAGCAAGCGCTATTGAGACAAGTGCTATATAAAGTAATTGTTCGTGAACACACAAAGGGTATTAATAATACCAAGTGCTTGGCGCTTAACGCTTATAAGCAAGTGTCGTAACACTTAATGATTTAGCGTGAGTGCGATGCACTATATGCTTAAAGAGCGAGTGTCGTAACAAAAGGATGCTTATAAAGCGTGTGTGCAATGAACGGTGCTCAAGGAGCAAGTGTTAAAAACAGAAGCTTTGTTCGCAAGTACAAGCACTTATTGCGAGGCAAGCAAAATGAAAAGAAAATGAAATCGATGCCTCCAATCAAGTGCAAAAATTCGTGGATACGTCGGGTCCCACGGATTGGTGGAGGAGGGTGTAGTGGGGTTACACGAAGGTGTGTATTTTACATACACACCTGCCACACCACATTGGTGTGGCTGTGAGGTGATGTGACCGTCGCATCGTGGCAGAGAGTCACGTGGTCACTACACTTAGTTAAGTATAGTGACTATACATGTTTGCATATTAATTAAAAAAAATAGGCTACACAGCCAGTAAATAGTGACTAGCACTAAGAAAAGAGTAGGTGCTTTTATATTTAGTGCTAGAAGATAAACATAATAAATCAGTTTCAAACCTGCTCTAAAAAGCTTAAGTGCTTGAGCGTTCTATTCCTTTTGTAAGAAACTGTTTCTTTAATAATAGTCTCTTGGATACACGGTTGTTCATAACTAAAAGGTATAAGCTTGCGAGCTAGCCTTAAGAATAAAGCACCCTAAGACGTATAAGCTCTTGGAGCTTGTCTTTCTCTGCACTTAGTGCACAAGCAGCTTTGCTGCGGTACGGCTACAAGTCTACTCACTACTTCTGTCAAAATATTCAAGCATGTGGTGGCAACATACGGTAAAGGTACGAGTATACAGACTTACGTCAAAGTGTCGGGTTTGAAGGTGTGGTTCAAATAGATATTGAGACGATATTTCAAACCAGATACATGTGGTTGCCAATATTGTTGATTGTATCAATCGGCAGGACAAGAAGTATATTAACTTTTTGTAGCTACTTCTTTAATTGACTACAACCAACTTACAATATACGTTTTTCATTGTCTGCATTCTCGCCTCCGATCTCAGCAAAGCGGGTTTAGCCAGAATGTTGTCAAATTCAAGACCATCAGTGCTAGAAGTGCAGCTAGAGCGATATAGTAGAAACGCACTGCTCGACGCGTGATAAGGTGATTGCAGTATAAACTCGATCGACTCGATAGACTTCGGCTTTTGGACGACGATTGCAAAGGGAACAGCTCGAAGCAAGGACATTTGCCGCTCGAGAAATTGGAAAACAGTTTGCTTCGCCAGCCTATCTTAGTATGATCACAACTGATGTGCGACAGTTTATCAATGATGTGCGCAGGAATCATGGCATGCTCATGAGACAGTTGCAGGTCTCAAATATCGATGTATCCGTCATTCATCTTCACTGCAATTGGATTGCTTCATACAAGTCCGAGATGTACAAATAAACATGAATGGTAGCTTGTGGCTAGTCAAGATATGGGCTGCTCTCTATGTAGTGCATGTCATTAGGCGCTGATAAACAGCGTTTGACGAGAAAAAAAATGAGCCTGTATCAGTCTTCGTACGGTACCTATCCATAGCAGATCACATAGAAGCAAATGTCTAGAGAAGGTTCAGGAGCCTATGAATTCATAAAGAACCTCAACCAAGGCAGGGATGCTGCTATTCTACACAACACTGCAAATGTGGCAAGAGTAAATACGTCTTGTTCCTTGTCGATCGTGTTGGCTCTGTATTGTAGCATCGCCAGAGAACAAAAAGGAAAGAAAACTTTATTGTCTCAAGCGCGGGCCACTTACTTCCTTAGCAGGATATCCTCACATGCACAAATACACAACGGAATCGTTACGGGGAATAAAGCTTTCTATTCTTTTGTTTTCTCAGTCTACTAGGATTCCTTGATGTTGCACTCTTCGTGAATGTCAAGTACGATACCCTTTGTGCTACGCACGAGCTACACATGAATGAACAAAAGGATGTATATCGTGTCATACCACCCAAAACCATGCCCGAACACAACTAGAACTTGGAGAGCATATCCACCAAACCTTTTCGACCTTTCCGTCGCATTTTTCGACCTTTCCATCGCAGTATTGCGTGTACCGACGCAATTCGTCGCAGCCATACATTATTTGTCATTTGTAAACGCTTGTTCGCAGCATTCCAGCATTTTTACACACCCTTGCCGTCGTCGGAATTACGCTTTTGCATTGCAGTTATTTGTGTCCTCAGCTGACAAGTTAACAAATTGTGTCTTGTCTGTAATCTTTACCTTTCGTTAGGCAAACGGGCCGAATATGCACTGAGGACGCTAAACTTTACCTTTCTGTACATACTAAATGACCAAAGTGTCGCTCAGATCACTCGCTTATGCTACCAACTCGTGCTTTCATTCAATAATCGTTATGTTCTTAGCTAAAGCATTTCCTGTTCCTAGCAGCATCAAAGCACACGGCTTCCATGAACATCTCTATGTGCGATATTGACAAAATGTTATCGGCACGGGTCGTTTCCTGTAAGAAGTCTGAGAATGCACCGTAAAGAACTTCGTGCCAGCATTTCCTTGGCCATACGCAATCTCACAGTTGCAGAGTTTGCCATTTTGAATGCCGCAAATTGCAAGGACAGCGTCGAATACTCCGACTGTTTTATATGCTCGCTTGCCTCGACATGTCTAGTGCGATGGAAAGGAATTTGGCTGCTTGACAGTAGTAAGTTAACCCCTTACACCGTCGCAATCGACAAGTATTGAAACTTGTTATTCCTGAACTTTCCACCCTCAAGCTAAAATCAGTCATACCCAAGCTACAATCTCACACAAGTCTTGTTACATTCTTACAGCATAATGAACCAAAGTAACATGAGCAACCTCAAGCAACACAAGCAGCAGCAACAAGACACACGGCACCTTGTGTATAAATACAAAAAGCATTCTACATCATCACTAGCCATGTAAATACAAACCAGTAACCCCGATATTCCTACTCATAGAAATTAAAAGAGCTTTCATGCTGCAGAATAAAAAGTATCAAAGGAAAAACGATACAACAAGTAGATTACTTTAACTCTCATCTTCTTTTGTCAAAATTCACTTCATTTTCTTCATGTCTCGGGCCAATTCCTCTCGAAATACGTCGCCAAACTCCTTAATCTTGGGTGCATAATTCTCCAACGAGTTCTTCAATACGTCGGCGCTTGTAGATGCCACTGTCTTTGCATCCTCAATGTGATAGTGCGTCTTGAGTGCTAATCGCTGAAACACACGTGAATTCGAAAGAGCCTTGACAGCCACGTCATTAATTACATAAGACACAAGACGCTGGAAGAAGGACATTCTCTCTCAAATAAACTGAAGGTTCTTGAATGGTCTCCATTTCATTGATTATATATAATGTGGCGTACATATAATAATGTAACTAACATCAACTTGAAACCTATCATATAGCTTTTACCTCTGTCGAAACATTCGTTTCTAATACCCTGTATAATTAGGCAATATCAGTCAATAACCGCTACACTTGGATCAACTCCATGTCATGCGTTTTCATAGTCTTGTGCAGTTTTTCAACCAATCTGTGGTAAATCCGCCCCTTCGTTCAATTAACCTCCATCCTCTCCCCCTCCTCTGCTTCTAAGAGCCACACAGAGAGACTAACTACTATATAAATAGACGCTCCTTGACTCTCTTCCAGACATTAGAATGATGCTAAAAAAGTGGACTTCTTTAGTGCCCTTACGCTATATGCGAACGATTCAAGGTACGTCATCTCTTTATCTTGTATTACACTGTATGATCACGATGATTTGGTACATATCTATTGCTGTAATCGTTGTATAGATTGTACAGCATACGTCAACATGCTGCATGTTTCTAACCTCACGAAGAATCAATAACCTGTTTTTATGATGTCAATTATATTACGTAATCAGGTCATACTACAATGAGTACGAAAGCTATTGTAGACACGTACGAATCTCCTGATCATTATTTCGAGAAAGATCGTATTGATGCTGGTGATCCATCCAAGCGCGCGTTTACGTACTTTATGCTCGGTGGTGCCCGTGTTGCTTACGCTACAGCTGCTCGTCTAGCTGTTATCAAGTTTGTAGGCAGTATGAGTGCGTCTGCTGATGTCTTGGCATTGGCAACCGCTGAGTTTGACTTGAGCAACATTCATGAGGGTGCGACGGTGACTGTGAAATGGCGTGGTAAGCCTATTTTCATTAAGCATCGGACGGCCAAGGAGATTGATATTTGTAACGAGGTGGACGTCAGTAATTTGCGTGATCCAGAGCCGGATGCAGTTCGTGTACAGAAGCCTGAATGGCTTGTAGTACTTGGTGTATGCACCCACTTGGGTTGCGTGCCCACATCTGGCGCTGGTGAATACGGTGGCTGGTTTTGTCCATGTCATGGGTCACATTATGATCTATCTGGACGTATTCGCAAAGGCCCTGCTCCGCTTAACCTTGAAATTCCCCCATACAAGTTTTTGGAGGAGAACAAGATCCTTCTGGGCTAATACATGGGCAAAGTAGCAACAGATAAAAAATGGAGCTTGGTGGCATTGGGCCAGGAAGCGACGGTGCGAAAGTGAACATGGAAGATTAAGACAGAATGTGAGCAGCTACACAGGAGCAGATGGGATGGACGCTGCATAAACAATACTCAAGATGCATTTGTGCTCGTTGCTCTCTACGTGGGTATTGCACCGTGGTGAATGTAGTTGATCTTTATGAATGTGAGCGAGATTTTTCATTTTCGACGATTACAACTACAATGTACCTACTAGAGACTTTGAGCGTGTGTGTGTGCTGTTTTCATGATCCGATGTTTTCTTGGATTCTAGCAAGTGGAGAACGCATTGTCATTGAATGAAGAAATGATCTGTTGTGTCTAGGCATCGAGGAGAACCTCGAAATTATTGGTACAAAGCTTAATTTCTACCATCACCTTTACTGATTCATAATAGATGAAGTCTCGCAAGTACTTGCATTCCATCATCGTATTGCAGATTAGAACCTTTGACACCTGATTTCACGGCCTGAACTTGTCTGACCATGTCATTTATGCTGTAGCGACTGGCCAAACGCGTTTGATCGACGATACTAAAGCTCGTACAAAAGACTTTTGGTCTTTGCCACAGAGAAATTGCGACATCATCTATACGAACTTTGCAATAAACTTGACACGCTCTCGCACAAGTTTTCTAGTACAAGTGTTCGATACCATCCGCTTGACTTCCACATGCGACTGCTTCAATCCTGAGGAAAATATTGATAGTGTGACATGGTTTCGCCACGAATGATGAAATCACTTGATAAATATGTGGAATGGCCGCGGATGTGGAGAATTGCAATCTACTTGACCATAGCCCCGTTCGTTACCCCAATGTGTCCAACTTGATACGCAGCTCGCTTCCGACTTGTGTATGACTCACCTCTGCCTACCCTCCTGTCAACGCTGGCCGAACGCCACCATCTCATTATGCTCATAGACTGCAGCTGTCAGTCAGTGCTTGTCGCACTGCTGCTGATTATACCTCATGCAAACGTCGAACGCTCCCTTCAGTCATGATACCTACTATTGAATAGTTCCTCGAGAGCATTTCTTTCACAAGAGTAAACCATGTCCATTCCAATTCATAGTTACCAGTACAACATAACTCTTAGTCCTTGCTGGACTGGGCAGTAACGGATTTGATGACATCCAGCATCATTGCCTGTTGTTGCTGGATGGTAGCTAGTAACTGTGCGTGCTGCTTCTGTTGGGTTTCTAGTTGCTCTCGTTGCAGTTTTTCAAGACGACGCACCTGCTCGTCTGCATGTCGTCTCTGCTCGGCAAGTTCGCGTTCCATTCTAATTTCCAGCATCTCCAGACGGCGCTGCCCATCCCGGTTTGCCTCACCTGTCACCTCGGCAACGGCAATAGGTGCGGCAGCTTCGCCGACCTTTGGAACAGCGGCATCGTGCTGTGTTACAAACAAAGATGGAAATGGTTCTCCTTTTGTCTTCTGCAGATTTTCCTGCAATGTTTCAAAAGCTGTTTGTTTGGCCTGCAATTCAATCAGTAATTCGCGTTTTCGTTCATACTCTTCCGACGTCCCAGACTTGCGCAATGCAGCAACATTTCCAGCACACAAATGGTCCAACAACAATGCAACACGTGCTTGACAAGCACCTGCCGCCTTTTCCAAGTTAAAGTCACTGCGTTCTCGCAATTGGTCACACACTTCCTGCCAACCGTCCATCACGTGTGGATACGCCCATGGTTTTGTGACATTAACTTGAGTCAACAGTAGAATATCATCGGCTGATACAAACTGCTTTCTACTTAGTGTTCGACCGGTATCGTTAGTGGTTTTTGACCCACCTGACGGTATCATTGTCAGTTTCTCTTGAGTTTTGTCACCATGCTCATCCTCATCTCTACTTCGTTTCGTACATACATGATTGCTCTCCAAAGCCGTGGTTTTCAGGATCTGCTCTTCAACTGTATTTCTTAACCCAACTTGCTTTCCCACAAGCCTTTGAGATCGATGAAGTCCATGACGTTTCTTAAACCTCTGTACCCATCCTAACGACACGGATTGACTAGACCCTCGAGTACGAAGAAGAATCTCATTGGCTTTTGTCCACAATAAACCTTCACTAAGGATAGGCAATTCATCCTGTACCATCTTCTCGCCATGATCTTCACTCTGTTTGGCTAGAATGTATTCATACAATTCAGCTTCCATGTCTGGATAGCGGCCACTTTGAATCCGCTTTGCACAAGGATTGGCACATACTTCTTCGGGCATACTAGCAATTTTACCAATAGTAGAGCGCCCAATCCATTTGTTAAATTTACCATGTACCCATTCACGAAGCTGTTCTTGGGTCAAATCTGGACGCTCTCGATGATACGCACGCACTTGGTTTTTCTCTTGAATGGTCAAGTGATGACGAGCGGTGACCATAGCTCTTACGCTCTTTAAACCACAAAAATGCTCTGAAAGTTGCGGGAAGAAACTACTTGGTATTTGTAAGAAAAATGTTCTTGTGCTCGCAAGTTGCTGAAACCAAAAACTGCCGTCAAGGGTTTTTGTCACTAAATTGTATTTACCTTTTAAGAGCAGATGATACGTAGCTGTAAATCAAAAATAGTGGACGTGAAAGGTTGCCATGATGATGAGAGCATTTTAATACACTAGCGCAGTTGAGTGCATATGAACCAGCATCATTATCCTTTTTCTTCATACTTCAACGTAAGAAAATGTCGTCGAGCTAGCGCAGAATTTTTTTATCAAGCTAGCGTATAATAAGCCGTAACAACGTATCATCTAGCAAACCAAACAACATAATAACTTCCGTTTGATGGAAAAATCTGCTCTATCAATGGCAGTGGTGAAAGCTGCAATTGCTTCTTCTTTACAGTTATGGACTTCCTTTCCAACTTATCTAAGCAAGAAAGTGTCATTTATGTTGCTGTACGACAGTCCGGATGGCTGGTAGGTGAAACAATTACATAGCCGGCATCTTTCCTTGCACTTGCTTGACCCATACATTGAGTTGAGTCTTTCAAAATCACTATCATCGAGAAAAGTTCATGAACTGTTACCACGCTCAGTTAGTTTGGCATCAAGATCTGAGTGGTTTTACTTGCAAGGCGAAATGATTTAATGATTCATAAAGATATGACGGAGTACCATTGCAAGCTTCAGCTTAATCTGGCGGTTTTTTTTCGGTAGGAACAATGAATCAAGTATCAAGCTTGCATGTAAAACGTCGCTTAGTTGACTACAATATTATGATCTGAATTTCTCTGTCGTGTGCTACTTCTTACTATATTTCATGAGCGCTTTGGAGTGGCTTTTACAGTAAGAGCCGCTATGGTGAAGCATTCATTCAGTAGATAAGTATGTACTCTCTCTATGCTGCGACTGTCCTGACGTGATTAGTTTTGCTACCGACTCGTTTGCTTGCCAGAGACGTTGTTTCTAAAAATCATGTACTCCACCATTGCCATGAATATGAATGTAAGCAGAAGAGCAGGTAACGACTGAGATGCGTTGACATGGATGGATTACATGGCAACTCTATCAGCAGCTCAAAAGATTCGAGTTCAAAGTACACACAGTGATAATACCTGAATAAAACACTCTTTACAAAGGTCGCTTGGTCATCCATTTGTAGTGTTGAGCCTACCCCAGCCAACCTTTCCTCTCTTACACTTAACTAGCTTGCTACTGACACTTACTACTTTCATTTGAGATGTCACAACATGATACCCATTGTTTTCTGTGTCCATGGGGTCTCTATTGCTACAGATCCTCCATCACAAATACATCTCCATAATGAAGCATCTGTTCGTCTTCCTCGGGGCCGACCATTTCATCCAGGTCTTCATCATTCTCATTGACACTTTTTACTGTTGAAGCCATGGACGAATCGGATCCGTATTTTAGTAGTGTCATCTCTCTCGCCGTCCCGTCGACGGCCTCTTTGTTGTTCCTAGATCTTTGCTTCACCTGGTCGCAGGACGCTTCGAAAGATTCTCGGCTCTCAGTCAACATATTGTAGTCCCACAGCTCGTCAATGTTTTTTGCATGACAATGCGATGTGCTCATCGTCTGCAGTTCGTCAGGATCTATACCGTGTGTCACAGGTTCTCCTAGATCACCTGTTGCGCTGTAGCGACGTTGTGCTTCATGATTTTGTGGAATTGGCACCGGTGGAGAACATGGGGGACAACCGCTATATTTTCCAGTAGTTGCAAGCCGTTGCGGGCGGTAGAGCCAATGGGGCAGCGTCGTGTAGTCCTTTGACTGCTTGTCTTTTTCTGCTGACGCTACCTTGAGCTGTGTTATATCCACCTCAATTGAGAGCCCCATCTTCTTAAGCTCTTGTTTTTCAAGCTGTACAGCCTGCTTTAGATCCATCACCAGGCCATGACTTAGTCGACGTAGAGTGCGTGTTGTGGGCTGGTTATCAATTCTATGCATGGGCAAGAGGTCTTTGGACATTGGTCTCGTGGTAGTGACCATAGTGCAGATTGTTCAAGATTCAATACCTGAAAGAATGTCTGAGTATTGGACTTTGATACAAAGATTTCGTTTAAGAAACTTCTGCTTTAGGTTTTGATATGAGCTCTTGGCTGCTGATTATTCTCTAAGCGTCGGTGTCCATGCCTTGTTTCTTGCTATTATTATTGCACATGACTGGGATCCGACATAATGAAACCAAGTGGATTCTGCGTTTTAAGGGCGACCACATTACAGAAAACTTTCGAGAAACTTCAACATCCCCATGCGTACACTGTCGTCGGGTCATGGACTCAGAAGATCGAAAGTTTATTGAGTCCGAGATTTTTCACCGTTATTTTTGTAGTTCTTTTGGCTGCTACTTATGAATTTGCTAGACTAACTATCAACACAACTCAAATCATTTGAGATTAAGCGACATTCTGCGTGGTTTGATTGGTCAGTATCAATTTTATTTAGGAAAATATAAATTTTGATGAAAAAACTTAGTCATTGTTTCGTATGTCTTATTCTTTTTCGCAGGGGAAGTGGTTATAGATGCTAGCTAGCTCGAGCAGCTCTTTGCGCTCGATCGTGACGGCAGGATTTGACCATTTGCCGCTCCATGTTTTATGAACGAATAGATCCCATACTTGCTCACCAATACTTCATAATAGAAAAAAAAACAAATACGATCTATCTATTTTCATAGCATGCCTTCGAAGAAAGAAACAAATGTTCGTCAACCCGACATCGACGAAACGGTCATGGTCAAAAGCCAGTCTCGCGTAACTTCTTCAAAACTGCGCCATCCCAAGGAATATTTACTCGCTCGCTCACTGCAGTAAAAGCCACTGCACGCATGTATGTGACTGTTTCTTAACTGGTGAACTTGCTTGCCGCATGCTTGGGTACGAAGCGTCACCCAATACCATCAAGTCCAATACCTCCTCACCCTGTACCGTTCGGACGTCGGTATCTTATGCAGCAAAAAATGATCGCAGAATACCGTGACATTCGATTTGATACGTCTTAATCAAATAGGTGAGCATTATTCTACCAAGCTGGCGGTGAATTTACCATGTGTGGCCTTGGTAGATTTGCTTCCATTTCCATCTTTCGGCTTCAAACGATACCATCAAGCCACGTCAGCACAGCAGCCAGCTTGTCGCATGAGTTCGTTACGATCTACTATTTTGTGCACCAAACGACTTTCTCGAGTCCATCTACGAGCGGTCGTTCGGATACACAGTCTCATATGCTTGTTGCAGCGTCGCGTTCATGTGTCACAGGATGTGGCTATAGCTGAGATTAAGTAAAACTTTATCTTGCATCTACTCTTGCCGACTTGTCAGTGTGGAATAGCTGCCTACCCTGCCTTGATTAAGGTTCTGTATGAATTCATAGACTCCTGAACCTTCTCTAGACATTTGCTTCTTTATGATCTGCTATGGATAGTACCCAACGACGAACGATACAGGCTCAAATTTTTCTCGTCAAACGCTGTCTTTGAGCGCCTTCGTCAAGTACTACATATAGAGCAGCCCATATCTTGACTAGCCACAAGCTACCATTCATGTTTAATTGCATATCTCGGACTTGTATGAAGCAATCCAATTGCAGTGAAGATGAATGACGGATACATCGATATATGAGACCTGCAACTGTCTCATAAGCATGCCATGATTCCTGCGCACATCATTGATAAACTGTCGCACATCAGTTGTGATCATACTAAGATGGGCTGGCGAAGCAAACTGTTTTCCAATTTCTCGAGCGGCAAATGTCCTTGCTTCGAGCTGTTCCCTTTGCAATCGTCGTCCAAAAGCCGAAGTCTATCGAGTCGATCGAGTTTAGACTGCAATCACCTTATCACGCGTCCAGCAATGCGTTTCTACTATATCGCTCTAGCTGTTGCTTCTGCTTTATGTACAAGCACTGATGGTTTTGAGGCTGTCCCCAATTCTGCTGGACAAGCTTCGCTGAGAACGGCCCAGCAGAAAGACGATGTAGGCATGTCGCATTTCCTGATTGGTGAAAGTGATTTGAAAACCGTCTATTCAATAATGACGGTGACAGGGACGATGAAAATGGTAACGAAGAGAGAGCGTCACAGGATAGGAAAACAAAAAGGAACAAGTTGAGCCATTTTACGAACTTGTTCCGGAAGAAGAAACATAAAAAGAAAGAAGGCTCGGGAAGTGGATCGTCGGAGGAACACCACAGTCGTCATCGTCGTCCTCGTCGTCACCATAATTTTTTTCTAAGACACCACTACGCCGTTAGTGATTATTCAAGACTTGCAGCAATGCATATACATCAACATCAAATAGCTGCAATTTCAACTCCTCGATACGTGATAATACCAGCTCCAGCAGTCAGACGAACGACTTGTCGTGTGTTGTTTTTGAACCGACGGATCAGAATCAGCTCATTTCTAAGAAATAGCAGGCTCCTAATTACTCGAATCCTAGACTTGAAGGCTGCTGAAACTGGCATGTTGAAATCAAGTGCTGGCAACGTTAGTTAGGATAACAAAGTTTATGACATGATTTGTATTGAGCTTTTCTAATCTTACTTCTCTCGTGGCTCCGACTACTTCTTCCTACTAACTTACGACTTCTAGTTTGCTACGTATATAATACTCGTTATATACACAACATGTAGAGCAGTCGTGTGTTTAGTAGCGATTGATACATCTCAGACCTGTCGTATAAACAATCCGATTGCAGTGATGCTGAATGACAGATACGTTGACTGACATCTGAATCTTGCAACTGGTGGATGTTTCCTGTGCACATCCGTACCAGATTTCTCACACCTGCTCTTGGCATCAGAAGCTAAGCAGGTTTAGCAAATAAGTTATTGTGTGTCTTGAATGAAAAAAATGTCCTTGCTTTGAGCTTTTCATTTTGCAATCATCGTCCAAGAGCCGAAGTGTATCGAGTTTATACTGCAATCACCTTGTCAAGCGTTCAGCAATGCGTTTCTACTATATCGCTCTAGCTGTTGCTTCTGCTTTATGTACAAGCACTGATGGTTTTGAGGCTGGCTCCTATTCTGCTGGACAAGCTTCGCTGAGAACGGCCCAGCAGGAAGACGATATAGGCATGTCGCGTTTCCTCATTGGTGAAAGTGCGAATGTAGTATCTGAAGACCGTCGAATTGATAGCGAGTACGGTGACGAGGTCGATGAAAATGGTTACGAAGAGAGATCGTCAAAGAATAAGAAAAAAGGAAAGAATAAGTTCAGCCGTTTTACGAGCTTGATCGGGAAGAAGAAACATAAAAAGGAAGAAGACTCGGGAAGTGGATCGTCGGAGGAACACCACCGTCGTCATCGTCGCAAACATCGTCGTACCATCGTCACCATGGTTTTTTTTTCTAAGACACCACTACGCCGTTAGTGATTATTCAAGACTATCTGCTTTGTTTACGTGACAATTTGTTACGGACATGCATCTAATACATGTAATACACATTTTGACTCTAAACATTGTACGTGGTTGTAGTCAATTCAGAAGTAGCCACCAAAAGTTAATATACTCATTGTCCTGCCGATTGATTCAATCAAAAATACTTGCAACCACACGTATCTGCTTTGAAATATCATCTTGATATCTATTTGAACCACACGTACAAATCCGACACTTTGACCTATAGTCAGTATACTCGTACCTTTATCGTATATCTTGCCACCATAAGCTTGGTCTTTCTTACAGAAGTGGTGAGTAAACTACATGTCGATCTTGCAATTCTGTTTAGGACACGACAATTCTTCCTACATGAGATTCAAGAGGTAAACTCGTTGACTATGTATCGATATAATAGGACATTTATGATAGCACCGATAGTCTTCATGATCCAGTGAAGCATCAAGTCCACAAGTCTTTGCCTCTTTTTTCAATCGTTTCTGGTCTCTTTAGTCTTGTTGAAAATGATCGTAGCAGTTTACTTCTATCCCGCTTATCAGTCATCCTACGAAAAGTAGTGATTAGACCGGGTTTAGGACAAAAATAAAGCCATCGATTCCTTTGTCCTGACGGTAAGCTATATACTCTCAGTCTACTGTCTAATGACTGGGATGCTTTGATGTTGCACTCTTAGTAAATGTCAAGTACAATCCCTTCGTTCCTCGCGCGATATACACACAAATGAACAAAGGATCTATACCGTGTCGTACCACCAAAACCATGACCGAACACAACTAGAACTTGGACAGTAAGTCCACTAAACCTTCACCAAGCAAGACTACCAAACCTTCACCGATCGAGTCTACCAAACCTTCACTGCGCAAGTCCACCAAACCTTTACCGACGATTCACGTTCACGTCTTCTTTCGTTCACTCTACACAACGTCGGCTTGTAGCCCTTTTGCAAGAGACGTCGATGAACTTTCCAGCACTAAACGGATCAGGGAACCGAATACGTGCTACGTGCAGATACATTCAATCGGCTGATTGCCCACCGTACTTGATGTCTCCAACGATCGGGGCACCCAGCTCTTGTGCGCAGTGCGCTCGAAGCTGGTGCGTTTTTCGTCCAGTACGAGGTTGGAGCTGCAGCCATGTCCCAGTAGGCTCTGTCGGATCGTTCCGTCGCAACACTCGCTCTACTAACGTACACGCCAACTTGCCGTCTACATGGTGTTTAATCTCTCGTCCTCAAACTTCTTCAACATGCTGTAGTTGTTATCTGATGATAAGGGTGAGATTGCTGCTGACACTAGCGCTTCATACGTTTTTTGCACGGCACCATGTCGCAGTAGTTGGAAGAATTTGGCAGCTGCAAGTCGAGAGCGTGCTAACACCAGCACCCCCGACGTGTTCATATCCAGTCGATGCACCACCTTTAATGTCTGTTGTTCCTCGTTATCTTGCTGTAACGGATCAGATTTGTCTGTGAATGACTTTGCAATTGACGGCAAGTATCGATCCAATGACTCGATCAACCATGAGCTACTCTACAGTATACGACAACATCATGTTCCAACATCCTTCAGACTCTCTTTCTCTCTCTCTCTTGAGTTATACAAGACAAATTATAGCACAACAAGTTATGATGATTCATGACATGTTTGTATAGATATGCATCACTCTCCCACCCATACCTGAACTGCTAATCCATAAGGTTTGTTTAGTATAAGAAACGCTTGATTCTCATACAAAAGACACTGTCTCCAGTCATTTCGTCTCGTCTTCTTCTTCCTCTTCCTTACTGTCTCTTCTAACTCTCTCATTTGCTCTGTCTTGCGTCCAATTGATTGCACTATCGATTGATATGAATGGACATCAATCGACACAATAGAGCCTTCAAACACTAATGAATTAGCTCGACACCAATGAATTAGCTCGACTTGTCTGATCACTTGACAAATAAAGGACAACACTGCACTTGGATCTTGCGTTTACGCAACTGTTTCTGTAGAAAACTCTGTGCTAGAGATGGAAGATCATGATGTAACCAACGTCAAGACGTATCTCGTGGTCCTGTGCACGTATAACGTGCCGCATCCAGCGAAACTCCTGGCGCCACATGAATCAAGTCTAGTCAGTCTTATGTAGATGCTGAACGTGTAAAGTGGCTACATTTGCCTACACTTTTCTAGCATCGACAGTTAGGTAGCATGTTTTTTGTGGTGTATGATCCTTTTTGTAGAGCATGACAAAAATACTGTATACCGGTTTGTTTGTCTTTCATTTGCTCGTGTAGACAATGTTTTATCGTGTGTGTCATATAAGAGCATTTTTTCCATTCTCTTCAAAGCCATGACGTCCTTTGGGTGTACTCACACAAAAACAAGAGCATAAGAGCAACTTTTGTGGTTCATTGCATACATACCGGTATGTCATCGCGTCGTCGTCGTCATCACTTGAGTATGCATGAGAAGAAATCAACGATGACGTCATCATTAGCAACCTTCATCCACGTTCATACAGGAACAATTACGTGCATGGATGTATGCGACATGGATTACGCGTTGTATTGTGGGTCATCATTGTACGTACACCGAAAGAGATGCGCGTGAATCCAGAGGCGATACGATTCCAGAGTGGGCGGTATTCCGACATGAAAGAGGAATTATGTGCATTGATAGAGGAACGTAGATGACAATTAACTAGTGATATGAAACAAGTGAAGAAGAGTTAGAAGCAGAATCAGAAGGTGAAGAAGAGTCAGAAGCAGAATCAGAAGGTGAAGAAGAGTTCGAAGCAGAATCAGAAGCAGCATGAATTTATTATTGTATTAGCTGATGCTAACGTTTGGATTATGGCGAATGAAATTTGTTAACGTACAAGAGGCAGTGATGAAAGCGTATTAGTGGCATGGGTTTATCGTTTTAAAGAAGAGACATGGACTGCATTGGTTACAATAAAGAGAAGGAAGAATAGTGTGGTGACTACAAGGATGGAAGATGAGGGTGTTATGCAAATGCAACACCTAGCAGTAGAGACAAATACCAGTGGAACGATAGAGATGCAAGACGTGATCGAGATGACGGATCAAGTGAAGAGGAAGAGACCAAATGCTGTAGTTGCAATGGGTAGTAGTGATTCTGGTACAGCTTTCGCTTCTAGAGTCCTGCTGCCGGCACTCGGTCGCATTTTGTGTCGTCGGATGTCATTTGCTGTTGATGCACGTACTGACCATCAAGCC